TAAATTATTTTTTTTTACAATAATATTAAATAAAATGAAATTATATATAGAAAATAAAAGGTTGAAAAGAAAAAAATAATTAATTTCTTATGTTATTGGCAGTGATTTTAACATTTATATAGTTAATTATAATAAGCCCTGTTTTTGTATATTGTAAATTGTTTTATTGCAATAATTATAAAAATTATAATTTATTATAATTATATATATATATATGTATAATATAAATATTAATAAAAAGTGCAATCAAAAATCATTGAATGGCCGGCAGTTTTATGTTTGTAATTATGATTTACATGTAAATATTTCAAAAAAAAAATTATTTTTATTTTTGATTGTTCATTCGGTTTGTCAAATTTGATTCGGTAAAAAATTTCAAGTTCTATAAAGATAAAATAAAAGAATTGAAAAAAAAAAAAAACAATATTCGAGTTTGATCATTTTTATAATTTATATAATATTATGTAAATATTAAAAATTATTGATTTTAAATTAATGTTAAATATTGCAAATAATATTTATAATAATAGGCAGTTTATGTTTTGCATGTTTGTTTTTTTATGCACATTATTAATAAAAGTTGAGACAAAGAACATAAATTAAACATAATAATAAAACAATATTTTAAATTATTGAAACTAATTAAATGATTCAAGAGAATTTTTAATGGAATAATTATGAATTTGTTTTCATAGATATAATTTATATAATATTAAGATGGGCATAGACAAGATAGTATAACAATAAATTGATAATAATTTTGATTGAAATTTTGAAGTTGTCAACATCAAATTTTGAAATGTCTACATGCAATTTAATATTTTTTTTTGTGTTTTAAATAAAATGAAAGCTTAACTCTTCGAAACCATATTCATAATAGAGTCTAAATTTTAAAAAAATTATAATTCCATACCATTTATTTAAATTATTCAAACTCAAATTCAAATTTTTATATTAAAAAAGCGTGTATACACATACGAAAAAAAATATTTATTATAAAATCATTTATTTATTTTTTTTTATTGCATTTATTATTAATAATTTTAGCTTCTCTTCATTATTATTTTATTATTAAATATTGTAATTTAATATGATTATTGCGTTTTTATTTTTTTTTTTTTGTTTTTATAAAATCCTTTTCTTTTTATCTAATTTTAATAAAATTCATTCTAAAATTTTTTATTTTTGTCAATTTTTTCTGTTAATTCATGTACAAAAAAAAAAATAATAATAATAATAACTTAAAATTATTTTATTTCAATTTTAATTTATTGTAATTTTTTTAAAAAAAAAATTAATTTATTCCTGATTTTATACAAAACTCATAGGTTTACATTTTAACTTCATTGATCTTTATTCAATTTCAATTTATTCATTTAAATTTAACAAAGAAGAAAAAAAATCTATATTATTAAAATAATATATATATATATTTTTTCCAATTTTAATTAATATTTAAAAGAATTTACATATAATTAATTAAAAAAAAAAAAAATAGTATGTTTATTTACAAATCAAATTAAAAAAAAATATATAGAATTAAAACTATAAAGAACATTTATAACATTTACAAAATTTTAAAACTACCATTATAATTATTATTTTATATATATATATATAGAAATTTATCTAATGAGCAAAGAAAATTTAAAAAATAAAACAATAATATAATATTATAAAACAAAAAAAGAGAATATTATAATTTAAAAAATATATATTTTTATATTAATATATTACTTATACAATTTTTATACATTTAAATACAAATTATATATATATATATATATAAAAAATTATATTATTAAAATAATTGCATATACATATAAATTAAGTAGATGAAAAATATTTTTCATTTGTTTTTTGTTTTTAATCACAATATAAAATATATGATTAAAATTATTTTTTATTATTAATTACAAATAAAAATAGTTAGGTATATTCTTAGAAATTTAAAAAAAAAAAAAAAGTAAATTTTAATTATAATAAAAGAAAAGAAAATTTTCAAATAAAATTAAAGTGGGCAGTGTTGGTGGTATTAAAAATAAAAATAATAACAAGAAAAAAAAAAATAAAATTTAAAATATTTTAATATTAATAGTTTCAAAAAATACAAAACATTATTAGTTATTTTTTTGTTCTTTAAATAATAATTATAGTATTTAAATTTAAAAATTAGAAATTTATTTGTTAAACTGCATTTTTCAACAATTTATGAAATTCAATTTTATTAAAATTACTTTGAAAATGAAAAAATAATACAAAATTATTAAATATTTTTATGATATTTAAATTTTTGAGTAATCTGGTTTTTGAAATTAAAGAAATTCAAATATTTCTTTATTATTTAATTGTTTATAATTATTTATTGCATTATAATTTTTTCCTCATTATTTAATTATTTTAATTTAATTAATTAATGATAATATTTAAATTTATTGTTTAATTGAAAAATCATTGAAATTGAAATTTAATGTTAAGATAAAATAATAATCAACGCGTATTTAATTATTTTTTGATGAATCAGAAAGTATTGTTAGAATTTATATAAATAATTTATTATGCTCTTTATAGTACAAAATTTTCTATGAGAATAAATTAATATTATGAAAAGAGTAAAATAATTGTGAATCAATTACATATAAAATAATAATTGTATATTATTTATTATACAAATACATAAAGATGTTGTATGCGATCATACCTATTATTATAATTATTCACAATTATTCACAATTATTCACAATAATTATAACATGTATAAAAAGCTATTCAAATAACTAATTAGAGTAGATCAAATTAAAATTCTAACAATTTTTATTAAATAACATTATTATTATTATTTTTTTTTTAAACTATATAATTAAAAACTGTAATGATGCAAAATTCAAAATAATTTTAATTTTAATTTTTTTTTGGAAAAATTTTGTTTCAATTAAATTTCTTTTTTTTTTTAATTATTAACTTTCATGTATACAATATAATTTGAAACCATTTAATATTAAAAATATAAAATATAATTATAGTATAAAGAATTTAAATATTAAAATTTTATATTTTAAAAGCCAAATCTTATGAGAGAAAAATTTGAACCAAAAAAAAAAAAATGTTTAAAATAATAAAAAAAAAAATAATATTAAATAATAATAAAAATATATTTAAATATTAAAAAATTATATAATTATTTATTTACATTTATATATATATATTTTTTTTGTTATATTGTAATATAATAGATAATTTTTATACACATATACAATCATATACATATTGATTTCAACATGAAAATAAATATTTTATCTAAATACTAAAAAATAGTTTTTTTTTTTAATTTATTATAATTTTTGTTAAATTTTTTTTATATTTTATTTATTTTTTTTTTTTAATTTGTTTTTGTTTTTAATATAGTAATTAAAATTTATATTAATTTAGTTTCTGATTTTTCTACAATTAAAAATTTTTTTGTTTTTAATTTTTTTTATTTTTTAAATTTAGATTTTTATTTTATTTATTAAATTTATTTTTTATTTTTAGAATTTTAACCAAGTTATACATATTCTTTTTTTTTTTTGTATTATTTTCTTTATATATATAATAATATAAAAAGCAGTTTTCTAATAATTAACTTATTATATAATTAATAATTAATAATAATATATAAATGTATTTATATATATAGAAATATTTAATTAATAATAATAATATTAATAATAATAATGATTTGTTTAAAAAATTTTTAAAAAAATTTAAAACAAATTTTATACATTTCACATAATTAAATTTTAATTTTTTAATAATTTTAAACTTGTATTTTTGTTTTTTAATTTTATTTCTTTTTGTAATTTAATTTAAATATATATAGATATATATATATATATATTTTGTAATATAATTAAACTAATTTTATAAAATATTTTGTACATATGAAAAAACTAGAGATATATATTTATATATTATTCATTTATTATGTATATATATATAAAAAAAAAAAACAAAAAAACAATTATATTAGCGAGGAAAAACTAAAAAATAATTTATTTATTTATTTTTTTTTTAAATTTTGTAATTTAAATTTAAAAAGCAGAAAATTTTACACTATTAATAAAAATTTTGTTTTTTTTTTCTTTTTTACACCAATTTTACATTAAAAAAAAAATTATATATGTATAATAATAATAATAATATTAAAAAAAGAGCCCTTTCATAAATTAAATAACAAAATAATAATTAAATTTTAATTTAATAAAAAAAAAAAAAATTTTTTTTTTAATAATAATTTATTTTTGAATTATTTTTGAATTCATTAATTTTTGTGTTGTTTCTCTTGTTTTGTTTTTCTTTGTTTTTTTCTTAAGTATCTCTAATTTTTCATTTGCTATTTTGTTTTTTATTTTTTATTTTTTTTTTTTGTAAAAATCAATTATTGATTATTATTTTTTGTTTTGTTTAAATTTCATTTATTACATAATTAATATTTATAATATATTTTAAATATAAATTTTACAAAAAAAAAAAAAAAAACATCTTTTTTCTTTGAATTCATTGAGGAAAAAGAATAATAATAATAATTAATCTATATTTAATCTTAAAATTTTTAATTTATTGCAACTCATCACTCGTTTGTTTCTTGTTTTTTGTTTTGTATTTTAGAAGAATTTTTGTTTTTTTTTGAATTTTTTAATTTTTAATATAAATATTCTTATATTTTCTTTACAATATATTTTTTATATAATTTTAATTAATTTCTTTAAAAAATAAAAAATTAAAAAAATTAATTAAAAAAAAAGAAAATAGAATATTGTTGTTTTTTGTTGTTGTTGTTGTAAAAATTAAAAATATTTTAATTATATTTTTGTTTTTAATTTTAAAAATCTTCTCTTAATATTTTTATTCATACAAGATTTTTTTTTGAGTGTATATAATATAGTTTTTTTTTTTTTAGTATTTTCATTTTAATTTATAATTTACATTAAGAAATTTTTAATTAGAATTTCTTATATTAAATTTCAATTTAATTAAAAAAAAATTTTTTTTTTTTTCTTTTTACGCATTCGAACAATCAATTTCGATTATATCTTTTGGTACATCAACAAATTGATAAACTAGCCTCTGTCCATCAACTTTAGCTAAAATACCACGTTGATAATAATAACGTAATGCACGTCCCATTGTTTCATAATTCATATCTGGTTTATTTTTATGCATACCCCATAGCCTTGATACAGCTTTTGAATCAACTAATTTAAATACACCTTTATCTCGATTTGTCCATTTAATAAAACGTGGACAATATTCACGATCTTGTAATAATTTTAATAAAAATTCCCATAAATATGTTGTAGAACCTTCACGACTTTTTCTTTTAACACCCATTTCAATTTTTGGTTTACGTGGTTTCTTTAATTTTCTACCAGGAAAACCTAAATCTAACATATATGATAGATCATCATTTGATGATGTTGCTGCTTGTATAACACTTTGATGTACAGCATGTAAACCAACTGGTAAACTAGGATGTCCATTATTATTACCACCAGTTAATGCATTTGTATGATGACCATTTGTTAAATGATGATGATGATGATGATGATGTTGTAAATGATGATGTAATGATGGATGTCCACTTCCACTATGTCCATTTTGATTATGTTGTGAATTAAGACCATTAATAAGACCACCACCATTACTACTATTATTACCATTACCACTACCAGAATTATTACTATTTAAACGTGGTTGATTTGGTGCAGAAAAATGTGATGCTGTTGTATAATTATTAAGTGAGCTTGTTGCATTATTACCGCTATTTGTATTACCACCAGACATCAACGGATAATAATTATCCGCTACTAAAATGATGAATAAAAAGAAAGACAAAACAAAAAATACGAAATTAATTAAATTAATAATAAATTAAAAATAAAATAAATATTAATATTGTAATAATTAAAATTGTCCTAATTGAATTATGTATTTACTTTAAAGAAATAACACTTCATTTTAAGAATGGAAAATGACATAAATCAATTTTCGAGACTCGAAACTTTGTTTCTCATAAAATTGTAATAACATAAGGTAAATAAACTAAAATTAGTCTAGAAAATTATAATTATGTTAAAAGAGGATTTTTAGAGAATTTAAAAATTTTTCTTTTAGGTGAAAGGTATATTATGCTAATTTCCCGCAAGATGGCTGAAGATTGTCGGTGTAGGGAAATAAATTAACATTCATTCTCTCTAAATATAAAAGTATATTGTTTCAGTCAAGAGCATGAAGAGGTCGTGGTTTAACATGGAATTTCGCAATAAACAAATTTGTAATTTTGTAAAAAGTAAAAAATATGACAAAATATTTATAAATATTTTTAATTGCATTATAATGATAATGCGTATAATCATTAATCTTTGAAATATACAATTAATTATAATAATAACTTATTAATTACGTTAAAATTTTTCACGCGCGAAAAACAAAAAAATAACAAAAAAATAAAAAGATAGAACAAAACAAAATAGAAAGCTTTTTTTTATTCTAGACTTCCTGCTCACATTTTTTTTTAATTTTCGGAAAAAAATTATTTGCAAAATTAATAAGGAAAAAACAGTATACAAATACAAATTATTGTTTTACTAACAAAAACGCTTATAAATTTGCTCCTACTGCTAATCGTTTTGCTTTCTCTTTTAATCTCATCTCTTTAATTCTAGTGTTTTCTGTCGTATATGTTAATTTTAAATTTTTAATTAAAAAAAAAAATCAAACAATTTTTTTCTTATTTAATAAGATTTGTAAAAGATACAAAAAAAATAGCTAATCAAAATACTATAGAATATAACAAAAAAAAACATGCAATATACATACATTGTATTGTGTGTATGTACACATACAGATGTATATATACATATATTATGTATATATATTGTATTAATAAAAAATGATCATTAATAGCGTGTTTATTAGTAAAAAAGAAAGAAAAAAAAAACGCGGTTTAAAGAATAAAGCTGATAAAAATATTTGTAAATAAAAAAAAAAAATTTTTTTTTTTTTTGGTAAAGAATCTAGTTATAAGCTTAGAAACTCTAAGATATTGAAGACAGATTTTAAGAAATAGTATGATGTTAGTAAATTAGTATGTAACGTAACTAAGAATCAGTTAGGTTAAAAGTGATCATTCGGACGGTAATCAAATTGAATAACGTAGAAAATTAACACTAATTGATTGTCAATTATTATTGCATTTGAAATTTAAAAATCATTTTGTAATTTACCCATTATATTATTGACATTCAATACTTGGCATAAAAGTGCTAAAATATCATAAAGTCTAAAATATGGTAATGCTGTACAAATAAAATCAAATTCAGATTAAAAATATATTCATGAATTCTACTTAAATATACAAAATTTTTGAAATTTTGAAAAACTAGTGTGTGTGTAGCTGACATGACCAATAGTTATTGCACTGGTCTTTTAACAGAAGGGTCTCGGATTCAAAGAACAGTCAGGTCACTATAAAAATTATATTCAATATTATATAAACTTCATAAACATTACATATAAAAATAAAAAATTAATATTAACTAATTGCCATATTTCAATAATATCCAATATTAAAAAAATACCAGTAATAACCTTAAATAATTTAATATAAAAACTATGGTAGGATCGTCACCTAAACTCAATGACGTAAGAAACTGGTTCATGTTTATCTACAATATCGTGTTAACCAGCGCTGAACTCCTACCAGAAGCGAAGTAGGAATTAAACAAAAAAAAAAATCTGTGTATCTATAATTTTAAATTTAAAATATTTTACATTTGTTAAATTCACGTCAACAGTTCTACTAAATTGGCAATGACAACACGTTTTTATAGTTTCCTGCAAAAAGCATTCTATTTTTGATGGTAGAGCTGATAGAAAAGATTTGCTATCATATCGACAACAAAAAAATTTTTTTCTGCTTTTATATTCATAACTTAAATTAGTAGAGAATATAAATCAAACTTTTTGACACCAGAATTTTTATGTTGTAAGCGCTGTATTAACAGTTCAATTGTCTTATTAGTTAAAACAGTGCAGTCATCTCGCAATCAGAAATGCAAAATCGAATTCAACCGTACTTATACTGCAATACCATGCACCCTATATATTTACAATATATGAGCTTTATATTTTAATATATCAAAGGTCTAATAATTATTATAATTGTAATAACAATTTATGGTAACTCTATTCTCCAATTTTAAAGTATTTTAATATTTAATTTGTAAATAAATCGAAAACGAGTATTAGAAATTTTAGATTCTCGATTTTATTTTCATAATAAAACTATTTCGATAATTTAAGTATTTTGGAAAACGCAGATTATATCGAATCATAATATCGAACTAAATTATATCGAAACATAATATCGAATTAATAAAAAAAATTTTCGGGCATTAATTTTAATTTGTTCCAACATTGTTTTGTAAAAATTAAATTGTACAGTGAGATTTAATGACATCTAATTGATTTAATTTTAAGAAAATTTAACAAAAAAAAAAATCTTATATTCTAAATAGAAAAATTAAAATTTTAATACCTATTAAAAAATAATTTTTCGCACGGATGTAAAAAATAATAAAAATTTAAAAAAAAAAGAAAAATAAGAAGAACACGACGGTTTTAGAATAAAGTTGATAAACATATTTATAAACATAAAAATGAAATGGGTGTCAATGAATTTTTGGTAGTTGGCCTTGAAATTTTTTTAGATTGGTTCAAAAATTATTTGATCACAAAAAAAAAAAATTTTTTTTTTTTTGGCATCTTTCTTCTATTTATTTTTAATAATATTCTATTTAAAATTTAAATGCAGCATTTTATTAATAAATAAAATGAAAATAAAATAGAAAAATAAAAAAGAAAAGAAAAAAAAATATAATTCTATTTTAATAAAATAGAATTATTCATTTATGTTTTCTTTTTTATCTCTATGCGTTTAAAAATTTGCTGTTTTTTTCCTTAATTACTTGTTAAATTTAATACATGTGCCTATTTGAAATACCTACAGGATTTATGGGCTATTTACTCTATAAAAAGCACAAAAAATGTTAATATTTAAAATAATAATTATTATTTTAAATAATAATGAAAAATTAAAATGATTTCCCTCGAAATTTGAATTATTAAACACCCTTATTAAATATTTACAACTAAGACAGTGTTATCAATTATTCAGTTACTACTATTCAAGAACTCTAATTGTGCTACTGATTCTTAAAAAAAAAAAACAAAATATTGTTTGAGCTCTTTTACTCACCATTACAATTAAAAGAATTAAAACTATCGTCGACTTCTAAAATGCAATAATACTGTATTAATATTCAATTCAGCTTATTACTTGCAAATGCTTAATTTCATATTACTGCATTTTGGAAACCGAGGTATGTATATTTGTAAATTAAATTTAATTATGGTTTTTTCTATTAATTTATAACTAAATTGAAATTTTAATAAAAAACTTAATAATAATTGAGTGTTCATTAAACGAGATACAGCAGATTTAAGCATTATAATTGTTGCATTTTGCAAAATCGAAAATTATTTACTTACGTATATATCGCTGAGATCGGAATTGTAATAATACTCGTATTAATATAGAATTCAGCTTATAAATACCAATTGCTGAATTGCGTATCGATATGGTATTATTAAAATTCCGATGTCAGGGTATATATAGGGTATGTATATATAAAATGCAATGCAATTAAATTATTCAATACAATCTTAACAATTCATATACATATATACTCCAATTATGTATATAAGATTTACGTATTAAATAATAATTATTGTTATATACATAAATAGTAAGTTAACAAGTTGACGTAATTCGAAAGTATAAAACAGAAAAAAATTCAAACAATTTTTCGAGATAAAAAAAAAAAAGAAACAACTTCTCTCTCTCTCTCTCTCTCTCTCTATTTCGCGTTCATGAAATTTATGACTTTATATGAGGTCAGTAAGTTAATTTTGCATTTTTTGTTTTCTTTTTCTAAGTAATTTGTTTTAATTTTTTTTAAATATTCTTTATAAATTTATTTAATCATAAATTGATTGTAATTTGATTTGTATTATTAAACCTAAATATGGCATTTTTTCTTTTATATTTTACGATTGGCGCTTGCAGATGGCCTTTTGCAAGAAACTCTTATTTTGCAATTTGTAGAAAATATCAACAAAATGAAAATTGTATAACAGTTTTTTGGATCAGATTAATATTTTGATATTATTCTCAGATTGCACCTATATGCATATTTCATACAGACTATAAATATAATTTTTCGTGCAGTAATTATAATTTGTCATTATACTGTCAGATATTTCGTGCAGTAATTGATTATTAAACGAATTATAAATTTAAATTTTGTATTAAAAATTTGAAATGACTTTTTAAGTATTAAAAATATTCATTGATTTTTCCATTTTACTAGTTTAGCTTAGTTTAGAGAAGGGAGGCGACAGCCCTAAAGCTGCCACCCAGTACTAGACCAGAAGAACCATTGGAGTCGCTCCACAGCACACATCATCCCCCTAAATCCATTGAAGTCCCGTGAAAACTTTATTTTACTAAGAATTTAAATTATGAAAAGAATTAAATAATCGCAGGTATTGTTCAGAAGGGAAAATAATTGTGATGTCTTCTATATATGAAAATTAGTATATAAGAAAAAGTACTTTCACTGCCTACCCAACTACTTACATATTTCATTTTTTTATTGAACAAGTACTAAGTAATTGAATACAATAATCTAAATGTGTTACTTTAACACTATAGCCAAGTGTATACTATTTTCATGTTCATACA